TTTTCTGCCTGGCGGCTCCAGCCACTCGTCCTGCAATCACTGCAGAAGTAACTACAGGGAACAGACGATACCCCTCTACAGATTCATGTGTTATACACTGACCAACAAGAGACAGAAATGAGCAACCACGACCAGCCAAGCTGGCAGCCAAGATGCAGACACAGAGGGACGTGGAAATGCTACGTTTTGAGAACACTTACCAAGGATATGGTTGAGTTGGTCAAGGTAGTGTTTGCCTGGGAAGATAGGTCTGTTGGAGAGCATCTCTGCCAGAATGCAGCCTACTGACCAGATGTCAATAGACTTGGTGTAACCCTGCAAGTGGAGCGAAAACGCATTTTCATCAAAGAATTTTTTGCGTAATTGCAGCAACACGTTACTTCAGTAAGTTGTGAAAGTGTATGCAAATACATTTTTTTAGATGACTCAAGCTTGTTCATGCTGTTTGATTTTCCTGTACAGAATGAAATAATTAAGAATTATATATCAAAACACTACTTCAAAGAGGGAGCGAGAACTGAAGGATGCAAGATATGTTTTTCCAAAAGCATTCTCTGAATTTTGCTAAACATATTGCAAGCTGTAAATTCCTGAGACTCCCTCATTTTATAGCAAATTTCAACTCACAAATTTTGGAAACAAGCTACTCTTCTTAATTCCATAGCTCCGAACAGTATGTTAAACATGAAAACAAATAAAAGCCACTCTTCTTCCTAATAGATCTAAATACCACACAAGTAAGAAGCCTTCAGCAAAGGGCAAAACAGACTGTTGGTTACTGACCTGTTATGTTTTACAGATCAGCTAAGTAGTAAAGGTGATGTGAGAAGGCCAACAGTAAATGGGGTATAAGAAGAATGAAACAGAGCCGTATTTTCCCAGGTATGGACAACCTGTGTTATCCAGAAGACAAGGTTTTTATTCAGCAGCATGCTAGTTACACAGGGGCAAGTTTCCCTCAAGAGTCCCCACAAGCTCCCTTGCTTTATTCTCCCCTATCCTGCTGCCCACTACTCCCTCCCATTAGCAGGGAGCTTCCAAGTAAAGCTGATGACGTTGCTGGATCTGCAGTCACCTCAGCACCGGCTTCTCACAGCGTGATCACTCGACCATTTGTTTTCAAGGCACTGTAATTCTAAAAGGAATCAGGCTATAGGCCAGGAAAATTGTGAGTTGACCACCTCTGAAGAAACACAGAAAATACCCTCTTGTAGAAGCTGCTGATAAATGTATGTGGATATCCAGAAATAGAGTTAACTTGTCCTATTTATGGCCTATTTATGTGAGTTTAAAGCACAAAAAGCTGGGAAAAAAGTGTGAGATGACTGTTTTCTAAAGGCACATTAGGCACTACCACCACAACAAATCTAACCTCACCACCAATGAAGCGGTAATCCTACAGAAACAACAAAGACTTTGAGTATGAAATACAGACACAGGTGTCACAGAGGTATTTTCCTAACAAGTGTATGCCTGTACAAACCAATGCAAAGCTTCTGAGGGATGCCCGTTACTCACACCTGACAGGGACTGGATACACTTTAAAGCAGCTGCAGAAGAGCGTACGAATAATTCCAAGGATGAAAAGCCAAAGGGATGATTTCATTAAGACTGGGAGAATGCAATTAAGATTGACACACAACAAAGATCACATGCCTTCAGAATCAGATTTGCCCTCATTATGCATTCTAAATCTAAATCAAGATGTCAAGATAATAGTAAGGGAATGTTTGCAAGCCTTGACGAAGACAGTAGTAAAGTGCTCTCATTAGTAGTGGTTCCATCCTGCTGTGTGGAACAGCATTTGGTGGAAAGAAGTCTCATGACTGGACAAGGAACTGGACACAGGGGAACTCATGCACATGGTTACTCAGCTGTAGTATCCAATAATCGTATCTGGAATCACATATTTATTGCAAACCAGTAACTATACTGCAAATCCACTGCCACACTTCCTCAAGGCTATGCATGCATTCTGATCCTAAAAATCACAGAAGTGGTGGTGGAGGTAGGCAAAGTCGCTTCTCATACGAGAATAACCAGCAACAGAAGCACCAGAGCAGTGCACCATGGTTCTTACCTTAGAATTCAGCATGATTTCAGGAGCCCTGTACCAACGTGTGGCCACGTATTCTGTCAAGAATCCTGTGTGATCATGATCTGGATCTGCAACACGAGCCAGTCCAAAGTCACAAATCTGGTTGTGAAGAAATTTAAAAACAAAAACACAACAAAAAGGAGGCATATTAGACATACAGCTTCCAATGCTACAACATTACCAGTTCACCTTTTCCCAACCCACAGCATGACACCTGCAAATAGAGGGATGATAACCTGTGTTTTTCAAAACAAATTACTGCACAAAGGTTAAGAGAAATATACTGATTAAATACAAACAGTCCCTGATTAGGGCACCACAGCATGACACCTGCAAATAGAGGGATGATAACCTGTGTTTTTCAAAACAAATTACTGCACAAAGGTTAAGAGAAATATATTGATTAAGTACAAACAGTCCCTGATTAGGGCGTGCAGGGGCCAGGAAGAATAAATGGTTTGGGAAAAAAAAGATGTTCTTGGTGCACGACTTGTGTTTTGCTATGGGCTACTTAACACCTCCTCTGCCAGGTGGATGGCAAGATATAGGATAGGTAGGTAGCTATAACAGCTCCTACCTGTTATCAGAAGCATACCAGAAAATGAAAAGAGAATGAGATTAAGATTTCCAGAAAACAAAATTACCAGCCAAGACATTTGTAGCCAAGTTCAATAGCCCTCTTTACAAAAGCTGCCATCATAACTGCATCTTCGCACAAGAAGCTTCCTATCCAATCATGAGATAATGGTACTGTTGAGATTAGAGGTTGCTGAAGGAAGCATGAGCTTAAAAACAAAAAAATATTTCTCACCTTTATCAGGAAAACAGTTTCATCTGACCAAGAAAAGAAGAATAAACTCTGATCTAGATTAGCGAGCTCAGCAAAAAGGAAATAAAGGTGCTTTTACCTAAACTCTGGTAAGGAAGCTCCATGGCTTTCAGAGCTACTTAGTGTCCCCTCTCCAGAGGGGAATCAAGAAAATTGGAAAGGTGAAGACAGTGTCCTAGAGCACAGCAGCTCTTCCTTTCTCACCATCCAAAAGGCGAATGTTAATATGTTAAGAGGCACATTACACACATCCATATGTTTTTTCTACCATCAAATAAATACCAGTTTATGAAAGCGATCCATTTGCACACCAGGTGTATTTGCATGAAAGAGTAGGTACTCTCAGACAAACAAAGCATCAAATGCAGGAGTGGCTAACAGGAGGTTCCTCCAAGGTACGTGTTTTATAATAGCTTACTTTTTGATAGTTAATTGTGTACACTGACTATATTAAACACATGAAGTAGAAACATGTTACAGTCAATACAGACTGTAATGGATAACCCCACCAAAACTGCAGAAACCTCACTGGCAGCCTACTCCTGTATCTTCCTGGAGGGGCAGCCTGTGAAACAATGCACAGATCAGTGAGGGAAGAAGTGATCCAGCCGACTAAAAGCTACATCTGAAAGACAAGATTCAGCAGCTGACTGAACAGAGCGACTGAAGAAAAGGCGATGATGAATTTCATAAGCCAGGCTGCACGAGATGACTCCTCTGACTTTAGCTAAATATGAAAAACCCTCAAAACCTTAAACCCTTGGAAAATAAAATCAAAAAGAACCCTTTTAAGCATGTCAAGGTTTTCCCAGGCTATGGAAACAGAGCAGCTGCCTTGTGTGCAATTAGCAGCTTACATACAGAGAATCAGTACAAACAATCACAAGAGTCTCCTGTAAGACAGGAGTGAAGAAACTGCAGAGAACAGCGTTATGGACTTCAGAAAATCATTATGCAGGCAGACAAAACTGTTGCAATCTCTTCCTTCTAACCTCAGAAAAAAACAAATAAGACTATAGCAAGGAGACTTGTGCAGAACTGCAGTGTTACACATAAGCAAAGTGCTATGATTTGTTATTAAGACAAAAGAAAAAAGACACTCTCCAGTCCACAGTGAGGAGAAAGAACTGCATTAAAGAAGGTGTCTGTGAATCTCTCAACTCAAGTAGAAGAATGCATATGGGATGGAAAGGAAGATTAATGACAAAGACAGCTCATTAAAATGACAAAAAACCCCCGCTGACTAGAGCAGAAACAGGTTAAGCAGAAAAGAAGAAACACCATTAGTGAGAAAGGCATCAAGGTTGAAGCTGCTGGAAAGGCTTTTGGCTGTCAGCAGTGTTGTCAACAGCTGCAGAGCTGACCAGGAGCATTAGCAGGGCAGAACAAAAGAGGAGCTGGAGAGGCCCTGTCCTGGGTGCAAGGGACCAAGCACAGACATTGACTGTACCCTGAGGAGCCAGACAGTTCTTGCCCTGTGGCAGCAGAACACACTGAACAAAGCAGCTACCCTATTTAGAGGGGGGCAAAATTTGCGAGTCCACTGTGTGTTCAAATAATAACTGGTAAAAGTCAAAGCAGCAGCAGAAGGTAGGCTTTTCAATGAGAACGAAAACAAAAGAAGAAAGAACCTGTGAGAGCAACATACTGACAGGCAAAATTTTATTCACATTTTGACTAAGTCATAGCGGCGAAAAAAGCAACTGCATCATGAAAGGTGCAGGTATGTGAGTGCTTCATGCCTTGGAGAGACACAACAGATGCTGCCAAGAGAGAAGGAATAACCTCCCCATCAAAGAAATAAAGTGCCCGCATCCTAGCTGTATATTTAGCTTCCACTTCTTGAAAACAATGTTCCTGTAATCAGTGTCAGGTGTTTGTTCTGGTTTTTTAATCAGATATGAATTGAAATTGGATGAAGCTATCAAGTAAATGGGACAATTCATAAGGACGATGTACATATGACCATTTGCTAAGCAAATAAAATGACACCCACCAGTGCTACCAATACATTGAAATACTGAAGTGGTACCATTGGGGAGGAAAAGGAGAGGTTTGCATTAAGTTTAATTGTTACTGATAAGATGGTAGTTGCATTTCTAGAGTAACTGGGAAAATCCTGAACCAAACCATGACTTGTCATTTTCCTCAAAAGAGCCCTTTCAGGGCCTTCCTTTCAAGCCTATCAAAGTACCAAATAATTCTTGGACGTTTCATACTTGAGCATATTCACTCTGAAGACAGAAAAGCACAGCTTACAAACAATATCCATATACTGCGTTAACGTTTTAACCAAGTCAAAGAAGTAGATTCTCAGTAGAGTGAACTGATACACTGAAGACACTGCAACTGAGAACCTCTTTAAAATAACTTTAACCTCATTTTCTGAAACATTAATGCCACCGGCCTAGGAAAATTATATGGTCATCAGCATTTTAATGTAATTTATTTAACTTACAAAAGTGCAAAACAGATCAAATTGTTAAATGCAGATAACCATGAAAACGCGAAGACACTTCTAAAAGCGTTAGACGGTATTTCAGAGTATATTGCAGCCTGTAGCACGTATACATTAAACTCATTCATGGGAAAGATGCGTGGCTGCAAAAGAAAAGACCAGCATCTTTATTTCCCAGGACTCCTGCTGGAGAGAGATTCCAAGGTTGTCATTTTCACGGACTCTCAAATCTAATCTTTCACTAAAAATATGTAACAAGAGACGCTCATTCAGTCAAATTATGTACCTACACAAACTTTCATTCACTGCGTGGTAAGTCATATTTAATATGCTTTATTTATAGCTGAAGGAAATAGAAACACCTTTAGGTTTTGCACTTCTGCCCTGAGCCTGTCGGCTGCTTAGGACAAGCTATAGGGTTCACAGACAAATGTGTCAGTAGAGGCTCATACATTTCTTTCCTGGAAATGGAATCTATGACCCAGAAGTCAAGATTGTGCTTAAGGGAGAAGAAAGAGCTCTTGTTACAACCTGTAGGAGACTCAGCTCCAGAAGAGATCAGCAGCTCGCTCTCATAATGCCGTTAAGGCAGCTAACAGCATTACCACTGAAGATGAACAAACTTTCTTCTGGAAGTGTCATTTTAAGTTGCTCATTTTCACAGTATGCCATTTTGAGTTTATGTACAGTAACCAACCCCGCGAGCATGCACATGTACATAGCTGACACACAGACCTGCAGAACAGCCCTAAAATAAACAAGCTAGCACAAGTTCGGCATTCATTAGACAAGGCCTAACATGTAGCAGTATTCTCTCCAATTCTGTTGTTTAAACTTTAGATGTGGTATTAATATAACACCAGAGCTCCCTTTAGGTTATGAAAAAGCACATGCTCTGTAGCACAGACTACCACACTCTGCGCTAGGAGGCACATACTGCAGTGGCATGCTGTTTTGAAAGAAATTGGAACAGTACTCACTAAGGTCATTTTGTATTATTTGGCCATACAGTGACCTTACCTTCTTTCTCATGACCATCTTACTTGTGTTAAAACATTGCCTTTTATTGTTTTATTGCACATAACACAGAGCTACACTCAAACTGTTCTTTCCTGTTTCTATTGCACAATCATCATAGATTCTACTCCATTTCTTTCACGAAGGGGTTAATGCCTTGAAGGGATCTGATGCAGTAACAGCTGCTGAAATCCCAGAGCAGGAGTCAGAGGTGACCAGTGCAGCAGGATGCATTAGGAAAAGCTGACAAGTAGCAGTGAGAATGTGAAGCAAACTGGTTGTGTAGCCAATATTTAGACTGGACCAATGTATGAACAGCAAGGACTTCTCTTGGAATTGTGATAAGCTTGCATTTTGAAGAGGGTATTTCTGCTTTGTTTGTTTTGTTTTAATGAGAAAACTAGAGCTACTATAAAAAACAAAGTGTAATTCGGTGCTACAGAGTATGCAACAACCATGGTCGTTCCAGTCAGATCAAAGTTCTCACTCCATCAGTGGCCAACAGCACAAACATCATGTAAAGTGTAAAAGGACACACGCTCAAATGCTGCTCCACGAGTGTCTCATCTTCCACGAATTTGTCATCATGGGACTCTACACCAGAGGCACCATTCAATAGCTTTTTCTTCTACTAACTTACTTGGCGTTTTTTTAAGTCACGTTACCTGCAATATCTACGGTGCTCTGCGGTACCAAATTCCACAGCTTAACGATGCTGCAAAAGTTTACTACTGCTACCTTCTACATCCTTTCACTCTGAGCACGCCACCTGCTCCTTTCATTGCCCCACCCCTCCCCTGCCTTTTTAATAGGTAAAGACAGTTCACAACTGTTCTCCATTCACGCTCCCTATGCCACAAACAACTCTTCTGTATTTTTCCTTTTCCTCAAGCATTGTCTTCCAGAGGAGGAGACTTAGAGCAAATAGTTCTTCCTGATATGGAGAGAAGTACTTTGAAGTTCTGGTCTCCTCATTTAAAAATGGTATCATAGGGAGAAGTGTGATAACTGTGATCACACAGAACTGGAGTCTCAGAGGCAACAGAGTTACAGAACAGCATGTTTTCTGTTTTATTCTCTATCTCTGTTCTAACTCTTCACACGTGGTTTGCTTTACTGAATGCCACTAAGCATTGAGCTGACATTTTCCAAGAATCATAACAGCTCTAAGATCATCCTTCTGCAGCATTAACCAGTCCAGAGCCCATCACTGGAAATGTAGATCAGGAATGTTCTCTCGCCAAGTAATTGCTCTGCATTTAATGAGCACTGAGCTTCATGTGCTATTTTGGTTGCCCACTAATACGAAGTCCAACACTGAACAATTAGCAGTTTAAACACAGAGAAACCAAGACTTGAAATACACACAGTTCTGAGTTTGCTTTTTAGGTAAACTCAATTCTGCTTCAGACAAGTATTTTCACCTTGCTTTCAAAGAGGCTGTTTCAATGTCAGCCTCCAGATGGAAACAGCGATGCACTCATTAAAAAAGCATAACAGTGAGTTCTTCATCACTCAGATCTTAATTATTAACTTATCAAAACCAATAATGCTTTGGCAATCTTTCCAGGACAAAAATCACATTAATCCCCAGTAACAAAACTGCATTGATGGTTATAGCAGGCAGTTTATGAAGGAGCAAAATTTGTAAGAAATTTCAACTGACCTTGAGATCGCAAGTGGTGTTAAGCAGCAAATTCGAAGGTTTGAGGTCACGATGAAGCACATTGGCTGAATGGATATATTTTAACCCTCTCAGAATCTGGTAAAGGAAATAACAAATGTGGTCGTTGCTGAGGTGTTGAGTCTTTAGGAGCTTGTAAAGATCTGTCTCCATAAGGTCTTGCACAATGTATCTGTCAGGCATCAGATGTAAGGCAGCAAAACAAACGTGGCGTCATGTTAAATATCAACATACGGTACCAGATGAAACTTCTGTAACAATTTTTCTCTCTTGTGTGTTTCATGGCAATAATGAAACTATGTCCTTGCTTCTTGCTTTACAGTTTTGACTCACATCAATCCCACTACATGATGCAGCCCCTTACAGAGTTAAGGAACATCAGCATGTGGTACTCTCAAATTAATCATCATAAACCTCTACTTCTTTGTATTAGAGACTGATTTTTATTGGAATCTTAATACGATCAGACTTCTATCCTGCTTGCCAAGAAATAAAGACTGTTTTTTAGTTTAATGAGTAATAAACTCGAGATACTCAATTCCAGTTGCATAAAAGCATGAAGGTAGAAGATCTGATCACTTCTGATCAGTCTTCTCTGTCACCTCTCCACTTCAAAACCTTGGCTCTTGTTCTCCTTTACTATATATTATGCTACATTAAATACAGCAGTCCTTTTGCTTACTAAAATTAAATCTAATATTTTCAGTCAGATTTTTTTTTCCTACGATTGGAATGAACATAAAGAAAAGGGTTGTTTTTTTTTCCTGCTTTGGCAGGAATGAGTTAAGTAAAATTTTCTTCTCCCTTAATTCAGTTTGCTTGCAAAACCCTTGGGGTGTTGTTCCACGACCACTTTTCAGCAAAACAGGATTTGGTGAAAACACACCCCTATTGCTATTCCAGTTGGGCATCCCCAAGTGGGTATTCAGACTGGACCACACAGCTGGGACATCTTTCACAGGCAGCAAGCGCTTACATCAGTCAGATCGGTCAGAGAAATGTAACCTCAGAGTCCCACGTAAGACTGACTGACCTCAAATCATACATTTAGAATTTATTAAGCGAAAACATTTGATATAAGATTCAGTTCGATTTCTGCCTGCACGCACTTACACCTTTTATTGGGCAGACACCTGCAAAGACCCACAAAACCAACAGAAATCATTGGACACGGCCTGGGGGAAATTAAGCTGGTTTTCTCCAAAGCAGGCCTAGTATCTCGGGTAGTCTCTCAGCTAAGATTACTTCATACAGTAGATACCACATGAAGTCATGTCCACAGAGCCAAGTTTCCCGTGAAAGAACTACCAGTGTAACAAACAGGCCAGATCTGCATACACGAATCAAACGTGTTTATCTGCCCCTGTGCAGTTTCAGACTTTTCACATATGCAGGAGGCACTGTGAAACTGGGGGTTGTGTTTTGCTTTTTTATTGTTTCCTCTTCCTCAAGACGTACAATTCTACTCTTTAAGGAAATTTTAGACAATTCTAGCAGGGTCCAACCATTTTATTTTTTCCACAAAGCAATCAGTTCTAACAACAGCTCTACTAAGAACAAATGTAGTTTTAGGATTAAGTGACTAAACTAAATAATCTCTACAATGCTGAGTTCTTTGCCTTGGAAGATAGAAAATAACTTTTTTTTTCTTTTTCTGAAAAAGAACCAACAAAAATAGCGTTCACTTACACACCACATCTATCCATGTATCTATAAACTGATCAAACATTATGAACTTCCAATAATACAAGACAACTTTTCTTAAACTTTAGTGAGGAAGAGGATAAATAGGAAAAAAGAATCAAAACAGAGAAGGCAGCAACCATCACTCACAACCCAGAATAAGAGAATTTTGAAAGGATACACATCTTTCATCTGTTCAATAGTTGGAGCTCTGATAATATCATTTATTCCAATAATATTCTCATGCCTGAAGCGCAGGAGGATCTTAATCTCTCTCAGAGTTCTCTGGCAGTACGTCTGATGCTCAAAAGGACTGATTTTCTTTATAGCAACTCGAACTTTGTTGACGTTATCATAGGCAGAACTAGAAGAGAACCAATAACAGTAGTTATAAGGAATATTGAATTCATCCAATTCAGAAAGCAAGAAAGTAAATTAACCTGAGTATAGGGTGGTGCATTTGTTTTACATTTATTTTTACCAAATGAAGAGAGGCAAGAGCAGCACGTATCTTTTACTTTGGTGAACAGACAAAATACTATTTTTCTATTACCAGTCTATTTGGGTATCTACAAGTCATCAGCTTTCCCAGCTGACCTAGAGTCTGCTGATTCTCAGGTACCTGAACAAAGAAAGAAGCACTGATCTTCTTTATCAGCCTGTGATAAGTTTGAGGCTTTTCCTATACACAGTAATCAAGAAGTTTGAGGGGAAAAAAAAGCATCTTGAGTTAACCCATTCACTTTGGGGCACAGAAAAGCCTTCAGAAATCATCTTTCAAGCAGCAGAATCCCACATCCTTTTATTAAACTCCTGTAAGTAATTCCAATTGTCGAAACCATTCGCACCGCCATCGAGCTACACCGCAGCCCCAAGAAGAACAGCCGTGGAAGGGCAAAAGGGATGCAGAACTTGTGAAAGCGCTTTTCCAAGTTCAATTCCAAAGACAACAGCATTCAAGAAGAGAGCAAATGGATCCGACTACACACATGAAGCAAAAGCTCGCAGCAGCACAACAAGGAAATACGGCGGCTGTGACCTGTGCTAACGAACACGCTGGCTGCTACACTTACGTGTACTTCACTCCAGAAGCTCAGAGCAGCATTCCTCACAGTACCAATAAAGCACCCTCAGTATTGCTGTTCAAAATGCCTACACGTTTACGAAGAATATCACGGCCTGAGCCTAACAAAAAGGCTCACTAAAACATACATTTTTCCCTAAAATTTGTACTCAGGTTATTATCTAGTAAAAGTGTTATGAATCCTTACAAACTTTAGGATGTTTCCTATGGTCTTGTTTGTATGAGTGACCAAGCATCTCATTATAATAATTTCTCTTTGTATTAAAAGTATATGGTAAATTAGTTAATTGGAATTTAAATGTGTGTATATGATTCTTGTTCCTTTCAAATTTCTTTTTGCTTCCTATTGCACTGTTTGGAAATTAAAAAAGAATCAAGCCTACATTTAAACATTTCTGTTAGCCTCAACTATTTCATATAAAAATATAAACCTGCGAGCCAAACAGGCTTTACATTCCATCGATTTGTCTCTAATCAAGTTCCAGAACAGTCTTTGAAACTCTCTTAATTTGCCGTACTCTGCTGAGATGTCCAAGTACCTGGTGATGAGGTGAAGCAGAACGAAATACGAAAATCCAAATAGAAAAGGAGACCTAAAAGGAATCCAAATGCCTGGCCATGTAGAGGTGGTTCTACCACTAAGCAGATTTATGGTCCAACAAGGTGTTTTTGAGACTGTGCAGCTACCGCTGTATACAAGTGTTTAACATTTCTCACTTTCATTATTAAAAATAACACAGAATTGGTGCTGCCAGTAAGATCTTCATGCAGCTCATGCATACGCAGTGACATTCTGTCTGCGTGATTCTTCTGCAGAATCACTTTGACCTGTCTGCATCCATGACTGCAGTCTGTGACCACAGACAGGCTGCACAATTTACTTGCCTCTAGAAACACTGAGCTCAAATGCTCCACAGGGTGCTTTGAAATTCCACATGCTAAGCAAGTACTCATTACAACTGTGGCTATTACATATGTATAGATAACACATTAGCAGTTCATAGGTCCCCAAATAGATAATAACGAAGTGCCATAAGTGGAACTTGGCGCAGCCTTCAAGAACACTTAGTGTACAGTAATGTTCTTGGTTGATCAGTTCATCACCTGCAGTGTTTACAGTCTACCAGTACGGTAAGTTACAAGCAGAAGACAAAGCTAGAAACAATTCTGAAAAATGAACAACCTGTATTTGGGAACGAAAGGAAAGAATCCTATGGACCATGTCACAATTATAAACAAACCTCCTACCTCCTCCTTTGCATTGACTTTAGCATATTTTTTTCTTCCACAATGCAGAATCTTATTTCCTTTCAAAATACTGGACAGCAGCAGCTATGCAGAGCAGAAAAAGGCAAAACCCAATATCTACCAATTGATGCCGCTTAAATAAAAGCTCCTAAAGTCTTACAATATTTGATAAATCCCCGAGTTATCACTTCTCAAGCAAAGTTTGCTTTATGATGAAAAATATGCATCTTTTTTGTACAGATTCAATGAACCTGAATCCATTAATTAAACATACCAAGATCTCTTGTTCAAGGGCTGTAAGTGAAACAGCTACAATTTTCTTACCAAAAGGTTTATGCAGTTATTTTTAAAAAAGGATGTGTAATTTTGCTTTCAGGTGGTTCAACTATGAGAAACATAATTCAGTGTGGAAAAAACCCTGAGTATTTGCAGTAAAGATGCAATCGATTTCCTCTCCAGTGTACATTCTGCATGCAGTCATTTTTCTGGTCATATCAGAAGATCTTACCACACTCATGTAGCTAAGCATGCATTGCTGTCACCACTGCAAAGCCTCAGCTTAGGAGAGGAAAATCGAAATAGGACCTAGCAGAAACATTAAAAGGGACACTGGGTTTATTTCTGTTGTCAGAGTTTCTGAAATCCGAGCTTTTCTGTCACTTGACTAAAAGTATGAAAGATCATCTCAATTCCTGTGAGCAAGGAGCTAATCACACAAATAGTTAGGGACACTCACTTATGCATAATACAGGTACACAGAGAATTTGTATTAAAAAGTTAACACCATTTCACATTCTCAGAATCACAGCCCTCAAAGCAAACACAGCTTTAAGTAAACTCTGTGACTCTTTAAAAACCAGTGCTTTTCAATTTGACACATGCTCTAGAAAAGTGCAGGAGCTACACATCAGACTGCATTTCAGTGGAACAGAAGAGTCATGCGTTCTCTCAGGCACGTGTGCTACAATCACACACCTATTTGGCCTGTGAAACCATAGAGCAGTATCTGTGTCACTACCCAGGAAACACCGTAAACTCACAACATTGGGTCCTTCGGTCAGCCTGAACCACTGCCCAGAGCCTTACCTGCTCCTCGCAGTCTCTATCAGCCATTCCCTACAATCGACACCAGATTTACCCACTGCTCTCCAGAACCCTGCTGGAGAAATGTGCTCACACACACACAGTGGCCATTTGCAGTGTTCGCAAAGGAAACAACTATAAAAGTGCCAATCCAACCCCTCGATGCATTAATGAACTGCAGTTAACGTAACAGCTTATCACTTAACGCAGGATTCGTCTTGCTTAGCCTCAGCTCGAATTAGAGATCTAATTTTATGACTAATAATCACCTGTGCTCCCCTACAGTGCAAAGAGGAATAGCTCCACATACACATCCCATCCACCACACAGCACACCCTAAATTTAGATTATTTGCATTCTGGAAGTGCTGTCCCAGTGTGCACAGCCCAACCGAGCTGTCCAGACTGTCAGCTTCTACTAATCTCACAACAACTGTTTATTTTTTCGTTGCAGCAGTTAACTGAGACTCCTTCTAAAGGCAATAAGCCTCTATTATCTACACTTCTTTTCCAAAGATTAAATCCATAAAACAGGGTTAACACTTCACATACTAACAACTTGAGTGCTCATTTATAGCTTTTAGTTTCCAACCATTACCCACATGTACCAATCAGTGCACACAGAGCTTTCCCTTTAGCAGTCTCGGTGTTACTCACTTTAGGATTAGTTACCGACATTGAATATTCAGAAGGAAGGATTTATTTCCACAATGATGTGCAGCTTCACAAACTGATGCAAACATTCAGCTGTGAGTGCTATTTATCTGTAATGTGATAAATTTAAATATAGATTTTGCAACTGCCCAACTCTAGTAAACACAACGTTATTCCTATTTCAAGCGATGGTTACCATCCTGTGACAACCTACAATTGCACCATTATTTAGATACTTTTAAGACACCAGGTGAAAATCAACACAGGCCCTAGCAGTACAGTTTCTCATTCCTAACGTTAAGCACCTTGTAAATACAATGAGCATTCAAAACCCAAGAATTTTCACCACACAACTTTTAAAGCCAGTATTTTATCCTTCTACTGCTCCAGTACCAACTTCCTTTTAAAAAACAAGAAGTCCGCAATGGGGCTGCTTCCAAGCACCATGACCAGGAAGTGCACTGCAGCACCTGAGCAGTCTGCAGAGCACAGCGTACCGACTGCTCGGACAAACCCCTGACATGCAGCCCCTCTCCATTAATTCCTTCTCAAGGCAGGAAAGCTTTTCACCAGACAGATCGGGACAAGTGCCAAAGCTCAGCTCCTGCTGCCCACAGTGAATGCTGCACGTTCGCCCACCCATTCCTATTCCTCGTGTGTTTCACTTTGGAGCAGCGCTGGAACAAGCGAGAGCACGCTGCAGCTGCTGGGGAGAGGAGCCAGCTCCTAGCAGCAGCCACATCCCACAGAGGGCTGCTTCTTCAAACCCCTGACAAACAACTGCCTGCTCTGTCGGCACCCCCATCCTCAGGGCGCTCCTCTGCTGCCCGGAGGCTCACCCCACCATGGGATACTCACCCGGTGGCTGTTTTACAGGCTGCTCTCAGCGTACACGTAGGGCCGCATAAAAATGCACAACGCTACCGGCAAACTTCCCAATCACAACTCTAAATAAAAGACCAATTTGAAGTTTAAAAGGGATGTTTTATCAGTAGCTTTGTGTTGCTGTGGAAACAAGATTGCAGGGATATACCCAGGGAGGAGAATCTTTTTGAAATATTGAATAATTCTGCTTGCAACCAGGAGAGGAAAGGCAAAAGTAACTGCAAGCAAACAAGCTGATCTATGAAGATCTTTAATCTCCTAATTCGGTCCACATTTAGCTCAATTGCAGACATTTACACAACATGCTGACATTTATCAAGTTACAATGCAAATAGCTTAAACTTATTTTTAAGAGTGCTATAAGAAAACTAACACAGTATGATGACACAGTAATAACCACAGTGGTATAACACACTGTTCACGGCAGTTTCGGGGGGTGGGGGAAGGTGGTGTTAAGGGTGCAGATTTGTGGAGTTCTGTTTTGAGGAGGTTTTTTGTTATAATCAGATATTAACCCTTTCAGATTCTTCAGAGTAACTGGTTTGATTCCAGATGATTAAAACACAGGGAGCAGACACGGGATTATTCTTTTACTAAAGAGAAAAGACTGGAAAAAGGATAAAAATAGAGTTTCAGAGTTGAGGACATCCAGTAATGCGTCATTTTTCTATCACTGAATGCACTTTTTGCCCCTAACTGTAAATACCTGTGGTTATTAGAAATATTTGTTACTTAGTCCATTTATTCATAATATTTTTGAAGGTAAGTCTATTGTTCATTAGACCCTTTTTATGATCACTAACTTACAGAATCAGCCCCTGCTTTTAAAAGGAACACGTGCCTGCTCACATGAAGATATATTTGCCATGTTTTAACAGACCACCATTTATGAAAAGACAAC